GTTCATATTACCTGTCTATTATATTGCTTGATCTGTTGCATTAGCTGATTATCTGTCACTTTGTCGCTTCCACATGTCATTCACATCTCCCTAATGCTGGGCAACATCAGAGTTTCATCTTCTCTTCGACATTACTCTTATTTTCATTTTTATAAATTGAATTATATCTATTGAGATTATATAGGAATCCGTTTCATATATTATCTTTGATCATTCAACATATTCATATCGTTCATGTTGACTGTGCTTGCGCGAAAAAATAGGAAAAATCTTTTTTTAGCCTCCATCTGTCTATAGCATAATGTATAGGAAAAATTCTTTTTTTTCTTGACTCTCTCACAGCAGAAAGAATGAAAATGATATTATTCTGAGCGTATAGATGATGAAGATGCTCCTCATTTGAGTTGTCTCCTATCAGATCTTATTAACAACTTGTTTTTCTATTCGGATTATTGTTTTTTTTTTGCTTTTAATGTATCAGCAAGAATTATAATAATCATATTCATAACTTATCGTTTTCTATTCCTTAGTCGCAGCAATTCAATCTATGGTTTTTGAAGCTGCGTTTGAATAACTTAGTACTCTGCAGATGTTTAGAATACTTTAGTTGCTTCTTGTTCATAATCAACATGTCGGCAACATTTTTGACTAATTCTATAAGCCTTGTTCATGTCTTAACATAATTATTGCCTCGATTCAGTCTGATGTTGAAAGTTTTTTGTTTCTTTCACTTTTAGAATCATTCAAGTGTCAGGCTCTATTGTTTTTGGCAATGCCTTTTGATTAGCGTTGAGTATGATATGTTGTTTTCATGCTTCTATATTCATGAGGTTATTGTTGAAACACCTTTTTTATTAATTTGATTCACCTAACTTAGTTTGAATAATTTGTAGCTATTGTTAAATACAATAGCATACTAATCACTTTTTGAGAGCTTTTAGCTGAACACCGCTATGTTTCTATAAAATAGAGAAATTGCATAGCAAACTGATTGGTCGACTATGTTAGAATTGAATCAGCTGATTGTAATCGGCGCGATTGCTTTTTTAGTTCCCCATATAAGAAATTTCTTCTCAGCTTTTCATATTCTCGACACTTTTTTTTGGCGATCAATCACTCAGCTTCTTTGGAGTCATGTCATTCCTCATGCTTCTATATCGAGTAATGTTACTAGTTGTCATAGTTGCGTTTTACTCTAATACTTGGATTTGTCTTTGTCGCAAGTTCCTCTGTCCTTTTTAAGAGTTTTCTTTTCATTTTCTCATTGGTCTTTTTTTCAGTTGAATTTTCTTTTTCTTTTCGGCTTCACTCTTGAGCTGAAAACTCAATTCCAGCATTTTACTCAAATATCTCAAGATATCTCAAAATTTATGCTATAATCTTGACGATTATTCTGAATAATATTCTGGTTTATTCAAATTTGTCTTTCTAAGATTTGTGGTCTACATCATCCGATGCTCTCCTGCCAAATTAGGTTCATCTATCAATGCTTCTCAGCATTAACTCATTTCTCGCCAGATTCTTTCGAATTTTGAAATTTTGTTGAGCTTCTCTTTTTCTCTAATTTTTTTCATATCTCCCCTCACTTCAAGTTCTTCTTTTCTGTCCTGTTATTTCTTTGTCTCTTTCTTGAAGCAGATGACTCTCTTTCATTTGAATAATATTTAGACTAACCTCGCCTTTTTTCACCATCTGGAAAGGAGGAGCTATCTGGACGCGCCATATAAGCGTAACTCCATTTGCCCATCTTGTTCTCAGAATAGCCAACTCAAGGCTTTCTGCTAGCTGAAACTCTTAAAACTTCTAACTTGTGTATTCGCACCAAATCAAACTAACCTGTTTTTGATAAAACGATGGGTCAAATATTTACCAAGAAAAGACGTACCGCTAGCTCCGGAGCCAATGGGCAAAAAAGCTACAAGGTGATCATGTGTCCTAAAATACGTCCGTCCTTCGATGATTTCAGAAGCAAAAGCATGAAAAATTTCAAAGAGATTGTTTTTGAACTCTAATCTTTTTCTTTTTCAGGAAGAAACAAAGTCCACCTATACTCAAGAGAATGCTGATGACGATGATATCATGATTGAACCACCCAAAAGAACAGGAGGTAGAAGAACTGGTATATCCGCTGAGCCTATTCGGGAAGATGATACTGAATACAAGAAGGTAAAAATTTAGTATCCCGATCAAAATTTTATTTCTTCTTCACCAGGTTGTCATTCCCAAGGATGAGATCACTCGCAAAGCTCTTGAAACGGCTATGAAGAAAAATCTTCTCTTCGCTCATCTCGAGGTACGCTTCCAAATTCAAGTTGAAATTCGAGAGGGTTGAGAGTCGGGGATGGTGCCGTAGCAATCTCTTGTATGTCACGTAGTCACAAATTAATCCAATCATGAAGAAAAAGATTCCAATATCTCATTTGATGCTGCCAAAGTGGGCGAATTTTAGTAATAATTTGAAAAATGAGATTGAAAAAGTCATAGGTCACCAGACTGCCAGTTCATTAGGATAAAGATATGGTAATAGAGTGAGTATTAGGCTTGCATAAGCGTCTTGTTTACTACTTTCGGAAAGATCATTGAACATAAAATCTTATGTTTTAAAATGAATGGGAGAGTTATTTTACTAAGTTAAACTATAAACTTTCAAGGTTGACGAAGCCCAGACTATGTTCGATGCTATGTTCCCAGTTGAGAAAGTTTCTGGAGAAACCATTATTGAGCAAGGAGAAGATGGAGATAACTTCTATGTCATCGATAAGGGGGTACGTTACTACTTCATATATCCCAAGATCTGAACATCTGTTGCAGATAGTTGATGTTTTTGTAAACAAGGAGTATGTTTTAACCATCAATGAAGGAGGATCTTTCGGAGAACTTGCTCTTATTTATGGAACACCACGTGCCGCCACCGTCATTGCCAAGACTGATGTCAAGCTTTGGGCTATTGACCGTCTCTCTTATCGCCGTATTTTGATGGGATCTGTTATGAAGAAGAGAAAGATGTACGACGAATTCCTTTCTAAAGTCCAAATTTTGGGTAAGATAATTTTTGAAAACCAATAATAATGAGTTTACAGCTGATCTCGACAAATGGGAGCGAGCCAATGTAGCTGATGCTTTGGAACGGTGTGACTTCGAGCCTGGAGTTCACGTTGTTGAACAAGGACAGCCCGGGGACGAGTTCTTCATTATTCTCGAAGGAGAAGCCAATGTTCTCCAGAAAAGAAGCGATGATGCTCCATTCGATGTTGTTGGTCACCTTTCCACCTCTGATTACTTCGGTTAGTTTATTATTTCGATTCAATAACGAAAAAGAGAGATAGAATTGATGAAAGAAAGAGATACATCATAGTGAACGGATGGCGGTAATTAAATGAAAAGAGAATGTGAATATAAAGAAATATATATTCTATTCTGAACACAATATGATTAATAATGAGATTTTTTCGCTCAAAAGATAACAATACTCGCAATGTTCAATCAGCTTCACAGATATGAATGGTCTTTGTGAATTTGAACTTTATTAATATCATATGATGAAAAGAGAAATATTTTATTTGAGACATATACAGAAAAGCATTGATGCGAAAATAGGGGAGCAAGTGAAACGTAGTGGAAAAGCATTGCTCTTTTTGCAAACTGTCTGTCGTTAGTTATACCACACACTCATAAATTTAGAAATTGAATTATAAGATGGAAATGCTGAGAGTGCTCATTTAGCGACAATTTTCTCAAAGCTAATTGGATTATTAATAAACTAAACCATTTCAGGGGAAATCGCTCTTCTTTTGGATCGCCCCCGTGCTGCTACCGTTGTTGCCAAAACTCATCTCAAGTGCATTAAGCTTGATCGCGCTAGATTTGAACGTGTAATGGGACCAGTTCGCGATATTCTCAAGCGAGATGTAGCCAATTATAATTCCTATGTAAAGTTGATGACTTAAGTTAAACTTAACAGACCAATTCACCTGTAGCTTCGCCGGGAGCATTGAAAACTTTCTTTTAGATGTTAGTCTGTCTCGGTTGTTTCTTTTTCTGTATGAATGGTCTTTGTGATGTCTACGCTTATTTCCGTAAAGTATATGCTTTTCTATCGTATTATTAAAGTTAAGATGCTTTTTTTTTTAAAGTTTTAAGATGTAAGTCGGTGCAATTTTTATAAGATTCTATTCGTCGATAGTAGATTAGTCTAGTTATCTCCCCGTTCGGTTTCGGTCACTCTCTCTTTCTCTCTCTCTCTCTCTCTCTCTCTCTCTCTCTCTCTCACTCTCTCTCTCTCTTTTTCTCTTTTTCTCTCTCTCTCTCTATCCCCCTCTTTCTCTCACCCTATTTCTTTTTTTTTCGGAATAAAGACATCACGTTTACTCTAATGAATTTGTTGTAGAAGCTTCCAAGTAGTTGTTTACCATATTTTCTTTCTATAATGAAGAGTTCGTTTTTGGTTTTCAGCTTCTTTTTTTTTTCTTTCGAACCGTGAAAGAAGATGATGCAATGAATGAAAAGTCATTTCAATATAAATTGAAATATTAAATTGCATATATAAATGACGGGTAGTTGTTTCGTAACGACTTATAATTATCTAGAGAATTAGAAACTTTATTCTTCATCTAAAATTGAAGTTTTTTCGTCATCATACTCACATAATATTCTTTTTACTTTTCCTAGAATGACGGAACGACTATAATGAAACAGAAGCTAAGGTCATTTTCCAAAATATATGCAAATTTTATTCGATATTTGTCTGAAGGGCCGACTTATTTGATGTATCAAATTTTTGAGAGGGAAATTGGAGTAAAAGCCTGAATCGGTTGGATAGAATGAATTTCAAACGTTTGCCCACATAAAAAGATATCGAATACAAAAAAGTATTTTCTATATAGAGGGAAAGGCATAAATGCAGAAATAATAATAAAAAATAAAACAAAGAGAAGAAGAGTAAGATAGACGGCTGGAAAACAAATATTCCGATTTAATTAGACAACAAAGCTTTTTATATTTTTATTGGGGAAAAATAGTAAGCATACACAACCTCTCATAGATTATAATTTCATAATATATATATGCTATGTAACAGATGAACGATTGTTGTAAGTTAGTCCGCAATAGTTATAGTATGTCATATTGTGTTTATGTATACAAAACACACCCAATATGCACTAAGTACAATAGGCGTTCACAATAGTTGTTTGTTTCATTCATAAAACAAACAACCGCCAGAACAGGTCGTTTGCCGCTTTTTTTTTCTTTTACAAAATTTTTCATTTATTTATCAAACAAAGCGCTTACTTAACAACATTTTTATTGTAAATTTAACTATTATTATACGTTTATTGTGTTATATAATTCCAATACGTCGTCTATTTCGAATAATTGTCTTTGAGTGTCCTTCAACACAACAATTAATCTTAATGATTCGTGAAATGATAACACATGAGAGAACTGTTGCCACTTTAAGAATTTCATGATTGTCGTTTCCTTTTTATTTCACTCTATGCAATTATTTGGCCTTTTGCATCAGCTAAATTTTCATTTATCACAAGGAAACGTGACCCCTTCATCCATTTCTCAAACCCCCAATAGGATAGGACCGGAACCTGAAGTTTCTGAAAATGAAACTGTCTCGACTTGTTTTATAATAACATCACTCAAATTGAAGTTCATACTTTTTTGGTTTGTGTGTGTCTGTGTTTTATTATACTGTCATTAAGTAACGTGATGAGCGTCAATGAACCTGATGATTGGAAGATCGTTCTGTAATTTCCAGCGACTTGCTAGAGTTTACAAAAAAACCGTCAAGTCTGTCATCACAACCAATTGGAGATCACCCCCCCTCGCCTGTCTTCTAAAAATGATGACAATTAAATTGGCTGATGCAACCTGCACTTGATATTTATCATCCTTTGGCTTCATGCTGCCGCTCAAAGAACCATGCACTTGTCATCATTCTCATTACAAAGATAGGAATATAAATGAAATCTTTCCGCTTTCAACATCATTAAGAATCTTTTTTCTCCTCCACCAAGCTTTATAGTTGGAACTAACGAAACAACTTCGTCTCTTCTTTATATATTTTGAAGAAACACATTATAGTTCCAGTTTTTATTCATCCATTGGTTATTTTTCTTCATTTTCGCTCCTCTTCACTATCTTATCTATACTCGTGAATGATGATCTCAGAGAACGGTTGTAGTGACCTTTGAACCCTGTATTCTCGTTCTCTCTCTTTTTTTCGCAATTCATTCACGGTTATATCTTCTTCTGTGCCAAGTGTCTTTCACGTGTATGATAAGGAATTAAAACGTAGAACGACCAGGAAAGTCGCACAACGGCTACTTCATCTCCGCCTCCATCTGATTATTTAAGTACCCGAGAAATTCCCTTTGGTTTATTAGGTTGCCCCAATCTATTTCTCATATGACTGATTATCACAGTACTTTTGCATATCTTCATAGATCTTAATAAGTTTCCTTGTTTGAAGCGTATGTATTTTCTTGATCATTCAATTGATTGTTCTCTCTCACACATTAAAGAAAGATATCATTTTTTTTAGATCGAATATCATCTTGATACGGAGAGAACTTGTGGACAAACGTGGAGATGCGTCCCCATCAGATTTTCACTCCAGTTCCTTCATCTTCATCTTCTCAAGACTGTTTAGAGAATGAAACTGGAGCAAAGGGGTACGTGACATCTGATTGATTTTTTTTCATTCGCGATTCCATCGTTTATTCTTAAATGAACACTGTTTAGCATGGGAGAGTTGGATCTGACACAACAACTTCTACGTGATATTCCTTTGAGGTATCGTATACCTCGAGCTGGAATCTATTCTCCCCTGAATGTAACCCGAATCGATATCAGTCATAATGATCTCATTCATATCGAAGGAATCGCAGCTTTCCAAAACCTCGTGACGTAAGCAGTTTTCCATTTAATCAATGAAATCAACTATCTTTCTTTCAGTTTTGATGCCTCTCATAACAGTTTGACTGTATTTCCTGATGATATATGTTCTTTACGCCATTTGAAAACCTTAGTTGCTCGTAACAACTTATTAGAAGAATTACCAAAAACAATGGCTCATATGCCTGCAATAGAAGCCATTTACCTTTCTGGAAACCGACTAGAAGCTGTACCAAGTGTGTGTTTCACACTACCTTCATTACGTATTCTTCACCTCGGTGGAAACAGTATTGAATTCTTGCCTACAAACATGGGACTATTGTCAAAGTAATTATAACATGTCTTTGATCTGAAACTCATGCTATACTTCTTTCAGCCTAGAAATTCTCTATCTGGGTGGAAACCAATTGAAGGATATCCCAGCTTCAATTGGAAGATTGACAAAACTTACAGCTTTAGCACTCAGTGACAATCTATTGGAAACAATCCCATCAACACTAGGAGATCTTGAACGCTTGGAATCACTAGCTATTCACAATAATAACATTAAAGTAAGTATTTGTTATGTTTTAATGATCAACGATCGATGTTTACAGACTTTACCAACGGAAATTATTAATCTTCAAAATCTTCAACAACTGAGCTTGCGTAACAACCCATTAGGTTCGTCTGAATAACATTGTGTTAAATCATTTATGTTTTCAGTTCACAATTTTGTTCATAATATGGCCCTTGATCCTCCTTCGTTAAAAGAAATCTCTGGACGTTACGTCAGAATGGAAATGAAGAATCTACCTCTAAGCAGCATCCTCCCGAGGTATAACTTTGCGACAAATATTCATTCACTTCCCACATTTTCAGAGAGCTGCTGACCTATTTGCATTCCGCAAATCAATGCGTTAATCCCAAATGTCAAGGAGTGTACTTTGAAGCATGCGTTGAGCACGTGAAGTTTGTTGATTTCTGTGGAAAATACCGAGTTCCCCTTCTGCAGTTTTTATGGTAAAATTTTGATTTTTGATCTCTTAATCTTTCGAAATGTTTCCAGTTCTCCTAAGTGTTCATGGGACAGTGACAATAACAGCAGCTCTGAATCATCATCATCAGATTCAGAAGATGAATCTGCGCCGTCTTCTAAAATGAAGATGAGAAAAGTTTTGTTAGGATAAGAATATATAAGTATCGATTGTACTGTAGATCTTTCTTATGTTTCTTTCTTCACGTTTCTTTGTGTATAAGTGTATCATTTCTTCGAAATAGTTTCGAATGCTCAAACTCTATCCCATTTTATTTTTTTTTTGAAAAAAAAGGTAATAAATATTTATTCATCGGATCATGTAGGGCTATGCATCTACGTGACTTGGTTACTTGGATACATTTGCAAGTATCCAGAGGAATGTCGTCTTATTATTATAACCATGACGAATATATCAAAACTCGATTGAAAAAATGATTTCTATGGAATCCGTTACTATGTACCACAAAAAAACAAAGTAAAGAAAACACTTTCATCTTCAATGCTGAAGGAAAGACGACTCGTTTAGGCAATGCTCTACAGATTAATATTCATTATCTTTGCACACTTACCTGGTGAGTGTTTACTTATGCATATGTGATACTGACAGACCGTTTGATTACAGTTAAGCTTCAAGCGAATTGCGAATGCGCTGGTCTTGAAACAACTGACATTGAAGTTTTTCTCATAATTTTCTCACCATACCTTAACTTCTTCAGAATCATTGTATTGAATTGCATGAAGGGTTTACTTCCATGATAGATGCCGAGGAAAGCTGCCTCTCACGAGGAGGTCACCTTATCCATCCAGATGTTCTGACAAATGAAATATTACAATATATTAAAACAGTTTGTTGTACCGATGTGTAAACACTGCTCCTATGCTTAAGCAAACTGGTGAAACTCCAGCTTTGATTGGTCTTAGGATGAGAACATCACCATCGATAATGGCTTATGCTCCGTGTCCATCTCGTTTAGAACCTCGGATGATCACAGATTTAGAAGAGTTTCTAGATGGTGTAAGTTTTTTCTTTTAGAACACTGCATTCAACATACCATGTGATAGAATTCAACGACTTCCGCCAACTGTGTTTATTTGATACAGTCATATCAGTTCTTCGTATTTGATACCTGTTCACGGGAAATGAACGCTGCTTGCGACATTCGTCAGTCCTATTTATAACTTATTGTAACTAATGATGTAAACTTGCAGCGACTGTGGAAAAAGATGTCTGTGGATCACTGCTTTGTCCTACAACATCTACAGAACCTCCATCAACGACTGAAGAGTCGACAACATCCTCTGACAACACTGGCACTACTGAACAAACGACTGTAGAATCAACCACATCCTCTGACAACACTGGCACTACTGAACAAACGACTGTAGAATCAACCACATCCTCTGACAACACAGAAACTACTGAAAATACGGCTGTGACAGACTCATCTAGCACGTTGACACCTACTGATTCAATCTCTACTGTTGATAATCAACTATCTTCTTCTTCATCAGCGGAAACAACCGAAACATCCGAAAATACAATTATAACCACTGAAGCATTTCCAGAAACAGTAGAAAACACAAAGCCATCGATTGAAACAACTGAAACAATTATAACAGATGAAACCTCTACTGATACAAGTCTATCTACTGCGATTCCATCAACAAGCTCAGCGTCTGTTGCTGATACTTCTATCACAGATTCTTCTGAAACAGAAACAACAGGTAGCAAAGTAAATGAAGAAACAGAGACAACTACTCTCTCAGAGCTTTCTTCATCTGTGAGAACAATAGAAACGAGGCCGACAGACACCAGTAGTTTAGCCTCAACCCAAGAAAGTACTGAATTGAGTTCAATCACTTACACAAGTGACAATACAGAAATATTTCAAAGTTCAAATCAGCCTACTTCTACTGAAACTAAAACTGTCTCTGCTATAGATACTTCGTCAGACTCGACCATGTTAACTCCAGAGCTCAGTTCACAGCAAACATCAACTCCAGTAAGCACAACGAGCGAAAAAATGACTGATCCTACTTTGAATACGGAAGGAACAACTAATATGAATGAACACACAGAAGAGCCAAGTGAGAATACGATAACACTTGAATGGGATGAACTGTCAAGCTCAGAGAGTTACTCAACTGAGCAGCTCACAACAACCCCATCAGATCTTGATACAGATCCGGTGTACTCAACTGATGTGACAGAAAATTCTGAGAACACGGATGAGCCTACAGATGATTATTATTCAGATACAGACTATCCCGAATATCCTGACTATTCCGATTATCCAGACTATTACAATTATCCAGACTATTCAGACTATCCAGAATATTCTGAAATGTCATCCAGTGATAGCAATTTGATTAGCACTTTATCTGGAGAATCAACAACGGAAAGCTATGACTATACAGACTTTCCTTTATCTTCTTCGGATTCTCAGGAAGTAACAACTAGTTTCCCATCACCAATCCCATCTTTATCCATAAGTTCAATTGGAACTACATCGTCGTTCAATAATGAAATTCCTATTATCCCTAACCCCGGTAATCCTGGTTCTGAAAGTTCGACAAATTCTCCAACAAGTGCTAAGCCAACTAACACAGCATCAAACATATTTCAAGACTCCACTCCCATTCCGAGTATCTTTTGTAATCAACTCTGAAATCAAAAAATTTTTCAGAAACAACAACAACTTCGTTTTCATCTCCAATTTCATCCTCGTTGAGCACGGAACTTCATGAGTCCACTATTAGTAGCTCCAGTCTGACATTAACGTCATCAACCTTCTCAGATATACAATATTCTTCGCCGAATACTCAAACTTCATCTATCACTACCAAACGTGGATTGGTAATACATCAACAAGTCGGTTTCAAATTAATAAGCTTCGTTTTAGACATCGAGTGGTACCGAATTTCCTATCACGAGTCTACCAACGACGTCTCCTTCCACCAATACATCTCAATTTACAACAACATCTAACTCTTCAAAATTAGTTTCATCTACCCCAAAAAGCAGCACGGCAGCTTTAAACTCATCCTCCACAACTTCTCAATCTGATTTCTCTCTCATTTCCACAACTACATCGGTTATACCCACAACCAAAAGCTCTAAAAGACGTAAGCTTTTTTATTTAATATTTAGGAAAACCCACAAATTCAATTTAGAGTGCAACAAAATGGAATTTCGTCTGTTTAATATGTGCATGGATTGGAGATTCATCCTTGGATTCTGCCTATTGTTGATATTGCTCAACATGATTTGTTGGTGTTTAGTTTGTTTGTCGCGATGTGCTACTCGCAAGGACCCTGATGTCGAAGCAAGGTTTCTCTAAAAATGCTTACAAGAGTTCATTAACAGTTATTTTCAGTGATGATATCCCTGAACTCCCGAAAGGTACAAAACTAATTAAAATTATATAAACTTACATTTAACAGATCCTGAACTTTTCAACACTCCTACTGATCCAGCCGATTTCTCTCCACCTTTGCCAGGTATACACTTCCTATATCAGATTTTTAAAAGAGTTTAGCCTTACCATCACAAATTCTCCTTCCTTACATGCCTCCTCCGGTTAACGCTGATGTTCACATCATAGAAAATCCTATATGTACCGAAAACGTCTCAACTCAGACTGATTTCCCTATAGGACCAATGATCTTTCCCGTGAAGCCTAAGAAGAAACTTAGAGTTAGCGAATAGTCAAAACGTTTGTCAATTGTAAGTTCAGCCTGCTCCACTGCCTACACCACTGGACGACGATGGGGTTTTAGGAGATGATATTTCGATTAATGTACCTTATTCACCCGACGGTTTCTATAAACAAAAAAATATGAGTTTTTTGATATATATTCAGATGAAATCCAACCAAAAGGAGATATAACCGTTTTCTTCCAAAATAAAGAGCCAGGATTGGACCCCGAGCCTCCAGTGCCTGGTAATTAATGATTGAGAAACATAACAATCTTCGTTTCTGTTTCAGACATCCCTTTCTTCGTACCAATGAGAGCTCCTCGTTTCCCGTCAGACCAAAAAATTCTTAAAAAAACTAAGCAAAAAGTTTTTATTTCAGATCACCTCCGACACGTGACCCACCAAAAAAACCACCAAGATTCATTTCTCCCCCGAAGCATCCTCGACAACCGCACATGGATATGCCAATGCAGAATCTAAAAGAACCAGACAATGTGAGAGATCAAGCGTAAGATTTTGTTCCAATGCTTCTCTTATTTCTAAATTTTGAAGAAGTGAAATTCAAAAGCCTCAACGCCTCAGTCCCCCTAAAGAGAATGGAATTCAACAGCATATCTTTCCCTCTCCTCCTATAAACCGCCCACCTATGGTTCCTCCACTCATTAACCTAACGTCTGAAAACAATGAAGAAACACCAATCATCGAGTAAAGTTCAAACTAACCATAGAGTTCTGATTAATATTCTAGTGACTCTACTCCACCCCCACCAGCTCCATTCAGCAATAATCGAAACTCTTCCGGGTTTGCAGCACCAAGTCGCAATATCAGCCAACTTTTTTCCAACTCACCCCCGCAATCTGTTCGAATCCAGCGCGCCAAAGGCCGCGTTGGCGGGGTATGATGATAAACAAAGAACAACACCAACAACACCCAGTTGTATTTTGTAGGTTGTTCGAGCTGGTAACCCAACAGGACCCGCTCCTACAGTATGGAAACCATGGAGCAAACCCACTGACACATTCAGTAGTCCCAAAGGAGATTTTTAAAGAAAAAAAAAAGAAAAGACCTTACTATGACGTTCGTTAGAAGCTTTGAACTAAATGTTCTATTGTCATGTAACTCTAATTACATATATACACATATACACAATTAATTATTAGTTAAACAGGAAATATATATATGTTAATGGGAATAAAAATTGGTAATTAGTTATAAATTACACCCGCACTCACACAAACTAATGAAAAACATCTTATCATATAGATGAAGGCTATGAACTTTCTCTTAGATTGATACACACGCATTCAACACTCATTTAAACCTAATTGAATATATATATATCTATACTACATACATATATATTGATCTAGTGTTGAACATATATTTCAAGACTGTCTATAGATACATCCACATGCGATAAATAGAAAATGTTCCTTAAGCACGACTTTTCCATGTTGTAAGAAAATTGTTTTTTGGTTCGATAGAAAAAGAAAGAAAAGAAGAGAGAGAGAGAGAGAGAGAGAGAGACAGAGAGAGAGAGAGAGAGAGAAAATGATACAAGGGCAGGCTAGTACTTTATCCATCTGTCAAGAATTTGTGCGTTTCATTCATTAATTAATCATTGCGATAATTATGGAAGAAAAAAATATCCAAATTTCCTCATCATCACCTTAGTATGAATGGATTATGATGACGATAGTTATGAACTATTCTTTGAATGATCGAAATATGTGCTTCTGAGCACGTAACTGATGATGATGAACTAAGTTGAAATACAAGAAGAAAAAAATATTTTGAAATAATAACAGATGGCTGACGATTGTTTCAATAAATCAACAATTGAAGTGTCTGAATAGGAAGTCTTTAACTTCTTTCTGTCACCCCCCTCTTCTCTTCCTCCTTATTCCTTTTTCTATTTTTTATTTTTGACTCAGTTTCTGTTTCTCAATAAGATGAGCCCCCTTGAATACGATTCTATTCTGATGGACTTAATAAACCCCGTGGAATTACTTAGGTATTCGATATAATATTCAACATTTTTTCATTAAAAGCTTATTAACGTCAAAGAATATATTAGAATGCACATAATCAACGGAAGAATCAGTTGAATATCATTTGATTCCATAAATCCGTGTATAATAAATAGATGACGGAACAAACTATCATATTCATCACGCGATTATTATCGTATATTACTTTAGAACTCTATATGCTAATTACACGAAGATTCCAATGAAGTGTGATTCTGTTAAAATCATTTTGAATGTGCTAAGACATTCAAGATATTCATTCTCTCCCTCAATTCTTTCGATCTAGTATGATGAAACAGAGAACAGAAATATGAAAAAAGGGTCTTCAGATAGCAGATAGCTTTACATCAATCAAATCCATTCAAAGGGCTAATTATACTAAAGCCTTATAAGACATAATTGAATGTATTGGCTTGCCGAGTCATTAGTGTCCCAAAGCTTTGTCAATGATTTATGTTTTTATGAGATAATAAAACTTTTTAAAACTTGCTTCTCATTCAAAAATGAATAACCCTCATGCCTATGGCCTCATAACATACAGTAAGATTATATAATATGACTAATAGCTCTAACTATAGTAAATATTTTTCTGTTCATAATTGGCAGAAGCATAATTATGGCAAGAAGACAGTGGATTGGACAGTTTAACTCAAAAATTTTTCTAGCATGGTCCAGCCATCACAGATTCCTTGCTCCCTTCTAACCAACAACATCTTTAGCCCTCCCTCGAACTGTCAACTCAGTTGAAACAAAAGAAATAATATTGTTGCGAAATTCCGTTATACCAGCTTTATTATTCTTTCATGAATAATTTTCAACAAAACATAAGATATGAGTTCATTTAGATTCGAAAGAAGAGTTTTTGAAGTAAATAGAACCATTTGGGGCGGGGCTGGGTGCGTGCTGCCAGCTATCTATAAAAGGCTTTGCTCTCTACGATGTATACTCATTCTGATCATGCAAGCTCTTTTCTTTGCATCACTGTTTCTTTTCACTATTAACTTGGTGAATGGTTGTACAACCTATCCAGACGATCCTCTTCGTACCGCTATCGTTCAACGAATTTGTGAACTACAGGTATCCAAGTATCAAATGATATGTTTCATTCAACCAACTTATTTAAAGAAAGATGTTTCTGATCTTTATGAGAGTTTGCTCAAGCCAGATGAAGTATTAGGTTTTAGTACATATTTCAAATTTTTTAAATAATTGATTTGTGCACTTAAGGGCTTCAAACTACTGATGCACCTATGCAGAAACGCAAAAACGAGTTTATCCGCTTTGGAAAACGAGGAGACGGAACGTGAGTTGTTATCTGAATATGAAAAACGTTCTAATTTTGTTTTTTTGCAGTGTCGCTAAAAGAAAGAATGAATTCATAAGATTTGGAAAAAGAAAAAACGAGTTCATTCGGTGAGCATTTCACGGATTAATTAAAAACACTAAGACCACTAGAATCAAAAACAATAACAATATAAAGTAATTTCGCTGTCATTACTGAATGCCTCTCTATCGTTCTACGATCATTTCAACCATAAATTCACGTCTAATGCGTGATTCAGAATCACGTACGCGCATAAAAAATGTTTGAAACACATACAGTACCCGTAGCTTATGCACATCCTCCTTCCCTCAACTTTTGGAATAAAACAAAATAAAAAAAAAGAAAAAGATCGCAGATATTTACACGAAACAGTGGTTAAAAATATGCGCGCATAGTCATTAAAAATGCATGTAACTATCGTCACCGTTTGACAAACCGTTTAACACCAAAAAGAAAAAAAGCATTTGAATGCTTGATTTTGGAAAAAAAGAAAAAAAAAAGAAATGTGACTAATGATACACTTAATCCTCATTGGAATTTCTTTTTTTGGAGGGAAAAATGAGCAAAAAAAAAAGAAATAAATATACATATATAGAAGAAATAGGGAAGAAACCTTAGATAAAAAAAAATGAAACGATCATGTTTACAGATTCGGACGATCACAGAATCCAATGGTTCTCGATGATGTCAACGGTGAGTATCATCAAAAATAGTTTTATCTATCCTATATATAGAAGTTAATGAAGTGAGAAAAGAGAGAGAGAGAGAGAGAGAGAGAGAGAGAGAGAGAAAGAAGAAAAAACCTTCTAAAGACTTTATCATTCATGCAAAAGTGCGTCAGTAGTAGCCTAAACTAACTGCAATCATTCATGTTTTTCTCTGTTCGTACATCAGAAATAAGTTTGTTCAACATTAAGTTATTCTTAACTTTTGGGTTAATACTTAAGAGGAACTTCATTTCTCAAGATGTTGTGAATAATCAAACATACTTTGTACTTTACATCTTGAGATATATAAAAATAATAATAATATTTGCAGAGATGGTTAAGAGAAAGAATGAATTCATTCGTTTCGGATAATATGATATATGCTGGATGTCATCAACATCTTTAATGTACCAGCTAATTGAGCGTCTGAACATGGTTAACACACTGATTATAACTTAAAAATCAATAAACTAGCTGTTAATAACAATTGTTACTATATAACACGTACTACATATAAGAGAATCACATGATGGCTATTATGAATATTCTTAAGTTCATTTCAATGATATCATTCAATCTAGATAGATCTAATCAAAAAGCTTTGCATGGAATAATTGATCATTCACAATTACAATCTCATTTTATAAACAGTGTATGCATCGTCGATTTCGTGATAAATGATTCTTTTATGAAATACATGTCGTCTTGCAATACGTAATGTACATCCGTGAGATTTCATTATATCATATACTACATAGAACACTTTTGTTTTCTGAATAACCTATTTTTTGTTGGAGACAGAGCACTGTCATCAACACAAAAGAAGAATATAATTTCATGTGCAATTGCTTTTCGTTTTGATTCAGCTCTCCTACTCATTTTTAGTTACTCTTCCGCCTACATAACTATTTCTTTTTTTTTGTGTTGGCTGCCTCAAATGCCCATTTCCGTACTTATGGATGAATATCAAGCAGGGAAAATAGAAAATTCTTCAGAAAAAATAGAATTTTCAAAAAGTTATAGATCAATTGATAGATCAAATATAATTATTAAAATATATTTATTGTATAATTAGTAATAAATATAAACATAACAACATATAATTATACAAATTATATTTTCTAATTGACAGATCTGCGAGACGGATGTAGACGTTTGTAATAAATGATCATCAGAATTATACCTATAATAATGATTATTGATTGAACTTATATGATATAAATATGTTTACCAATAATGTATGTACTGTGATATGTATAGATCAATGGAATGACATCGAAATTCGTAGTGTTCGCATAAAACCACAGATAATAGAAAATAAGCTGAAAATGAATATAAATTCAGTTAGAAATGATCTGTTTTGATACCTCGGCTTCTATAAGTTCAACCAGCAGCGCAACGGTGTATCGCCAGCAAGCTGGTCCATCAACGGAATTGAATGGAGTAAACATGTGAATGAACATATTACAGATCATGACTAGACATCGAGATGAATACGAGAGGCCTTTATTCCCATCCCACTGAAAATTAAATTACTTTCGGAAGAATGTTTAATTGTTTACCTGAAACATGAAGAGATGGAGAATAGTAGCAACACAATGGATTGCACCGAACCAAGCAGCTTGATATCCAAATGCTATAATTGCTATAACGATAATAAGGGCTCTTGAAGACATCAAAAAAAATCTCCATAAGAACTGAAACAAACCTATTATGATTAAAAATTAAAACAGAGTGTTATATCCTAACCTGTATTATAATTTCACTTGGATGAATGTTAATCTTGTCTAATCGAACCATTCGAAGAGTTCGATGCTGACAGCATAAAGCCCAACACACGCTGACTAATGATGATAATATGGAAAGGTAATGGAAGTAAACTGAATAAAAGAGGAAAGATGAATGAAAATTATACGAAACATACTCCAAACACTGCTATTGTTCCCATAATGAACGGATTGTAAGACAATGATAGTTTGGACAATCATTTGAGGAGCAGACTCTATGAAAGCTTCTACAAGTCTTAATAGAGTGGCATCTCTTTCACATTCAACCATCCGACAAAAAAAATATTTTTTTAATTTTTTAGAACTAACGTTCTTCATTCTGTAAGCAAACAGAATAGCATTATAATTCCAATAAATAGGGCCAATCTGCAAAATCATAATATCATCAAAGTCATACTACTTAACATACTAAAGCTTTGAATGCAAGTTTAGCATAATCTGAGACGTCAAAACGAAAAACAGCAGTAGGTGCTGGTAGAGATGTTACATATTGATAACAACGAGTATGATCTTCTTTATGCCAAATATACGATAGGATGAATGTTGCTGAGAAACCAGTGATGTAAGGAATGATAGTGAAGAATGCATGCGTCAACTGAAATAAACCAACTGAACTTAATTGTTTTTACATTGAAAACTGACTCTCTGAGAAGCAATATAGTCAATAGCGATCAAGCTGTCACTACAAACATCTATGATATAAGAAATAATTGAGAGAAAAAAGCAGATGATATGATGCTTCTCTACATTGATAATGCTTGGCATTGCATCAGTTTCAATCTTCGACTGATTTAAATCCTCTGCTATAATAATATTAAATTATTTTATATTTAAGAGTTAAATTTACCCTCATTAGTCTCTCTAGGATACCTTCGGCCAAAATAGGACATTTTCGATTTTGGAATGGACCAAGGAACACTCATATCGTTCATAATTGGTTTGAGGTCTAATTAAAAGATCTGAAATACTAATATTAAATAATGTAAATATAAATAAACTCAAAATATATTTGTAAACTTATAATTCTTACTAACCATAATCCACTCAAAGGTCTTTGATTTAAAACTGAATGAGATAAGCTATAAGTGATAGTAAGAGATATAGTTGAACACAAGGCTATAAATGAAATTATAAATGATTGAAAAATGAATATGGAGATTATAATGAAGAACAAATGAGAAATTGAATGAAAAATGAAAGAAAAGGGATATCCATATGCCTGTTTAATGATTATTCCAATTGACTTCATAAGATATGATACAAATACGAGATTATGATCATTAAAATCTTTCATGGGATAGAGAAGTTCTAGTTGGAGTCATTTCAAGTAATTAAGCGTCTGTTATTGATTTTATAAATTGTGTGTTAGAAATCAAATAAGGATGTCGAGTAGAAGGTCATTAAGAAGAGAAAGAGAGTCAGTGCCAGAGGGAAGAAAGCACTAGGCAAAACTTAGAAAATACTCGATTTCTCCATTGGCAAAAACAATATTGTTTCATGTAATGACCTACCTGAGAGAGTTTCAGATCAAATTGAAAGATGTGCGTTTCGACCACAAATTGTCAGTTTCGTCATTGTATAATCATACTAGATTATACTACTCTCGATCTGTTCCGAACCGAACGATGCGATTGGAATTTTGAGATCGAATTGGATCCGAAACCCTTGTTCAACTTCTGATTGGTACATAGTTGACATTGTAATTGTGGTCCTCAATGGAATTTGGCATTTTATGACGCCGATAAGAGATATAAAAGAAAAGTATATTGTAAAAGGAACTATCTCAATGGTCCACTCAAATGCTTACAGTAACTCGATTGCAGTCTATCGCCTTCTTTGGATAAAATTATGGTCCTACAGTGCTTATTCTATATACCCTGAGATGTGCTTTGAAGCAGGACCTTCACTAACAACATCACACTGTCACCTCTCCTGCTGAACCTTAAAAGAAGCTTGTTGCCTTTAAAATAGAAATCAGTTCTTCTCATTTTGTTTCTTTAATCGCTTGCCTCATTCTCTAATCCATGGTGTTTAAATAAATTTGATGTGACTGAAAAAGCTATTATGACGTAATTCTTCTCAATTATCTATGAAGCTTGTCAAAAGAATTAATAGATTATAATATATTTGTAATTGGTATTGGACAAAATACTGTGAATAAATTCAATTATAACATCAATGAACTCATTTATTCGTAATCCTTTAAATGCCATTGAAATTGAAATGAAATCATTTCATTGCTATTCTCTTCCTTCGTCTCAGAATGTGAATCTCAATGTCCCTCTCTCTTCCCCAATGTCTCATTTCTAAAAAAATTTTTGACTTGTAGTGCTTTTTCATTTTTATATTGAATAGCCGTTTTTATCAGATTTAATAGCATTAATGGGGCATTGTGCATCAAAGAAGTATATGTCAACAGAGCTGTCTGATGAAGAGATAGGTGCCATTCGTGAAGTTTGGATTCGGTAAGCACTCTCCTTTCTCTATACAATGTTTTCTTTCGATTGAGAGCTAAAAACAATATGGTGGGAAAGAAGATCCTGCAGACACTAATTGAGAAACGTCCCAAGTTTGCCGAGTATTTTGGTATTCAGAGTGATTCGCTAGATACAAAAGAGCTTAACATGAGCAAAGAATTTCATTTACAAGTATAACTCATTAGATTTTTTAAAATATAATAAATATTAATATGAAGGCTCATCGTATTCAAAACTTCTTGGATACAGCAGTCGGTTCTCTTGGCTTTTGTCCAATTTCTAGCGTGTACGATATGGCACATAGAATAGGACAAATTCATTTCTATCGGTAAGGAATTTGTCTAGAAATTCAAATACCCGTCTGTTATTAACAGGGGTGTCAATTTCGGCGCGGATAATTGGTTGGTTTTCAAGAAAGTCACTGTCGATCAAGTAACATCGGATCAGTCTGATTCAGCTAGTCTGGATTTAAGAGGCCAAGAAGAGAAGGAAACAATTTTGAGAGTATAACATTATCTTCTTTTAGAGGTTTTCATAAGGAATTTCAGGAATTGAATCCCTACACTGGTGAAAATTGTTTGAGCCGGTTGGGATGGAATAAACTAATGACTGTAATCGTTCGTGAAATGAAGAGAGGTTCATAATTGCAGCTGAAAAGATAGAAGTTTAACGGTCAACGGTCTATTTTAAGGTTTCCTGGAGGAAGCTATGCGAAACTGCAAAGAAGAAGATAACAATGGATTGCTTGGAGCTTAAACATTCCCCTCCCCATCAAATCATCGCAGCTTCAGCTAGAATCATTTTGAAAGTGAATTAGCGCAGCATATTATATTTTCAATCAATTATTTTCTTCAACATACCTTTATTTCCTTATATATATTTTCTTAACGATAAAACCTTTTTTTCTGCTTACTATTTGTTCGATGTTCACAGACAGAAACGAAATAAGAATTCATCAGGATGGGGGTCTTCAGCAATATTTCAATATGAACCGAGACAACGATAAACTTGAGTTCCCCATTCTTCTTTCGTAGTCATCTGAATGTTGAATGACAGCCCCTGAAGAAAGAAGCAACGTTGACAACTTAAGAATTCGATAATGAAGGGGTGCAACTCAATCTTCGTCTTTCAATTCTTGCTTTTAACAAGCGCTCTAGCGTAATAGCAAAAAAATAACTCACTTCTAATATTGGAGTAATAGCTCTTTCGTTTCCGGTAATTACCCTCAAGACATTTTGATATACATGCTCTATATGGATTTTAGCTTGTTAATATATGTTTGATTGAATTGATAATCTAATACTCCCACCGAATATGAATTCATGAAATTAGTTGCATATAACATTCTTTTCGGGAAATGAGTTGTGATCCGATATGAACTCGGCATATGAAGTCCGACTCCGATACCTTTACACGTACAATCGTAAAACAATGTAATGAGAAAAAGTATTCAAACACATATGATTCAATTAGAAAATGTGTCTCTACACGGGGATCATTTATATGAGATGAGTTAATCGACTATTTTCATTGAAATGATGATTCATAGAACCAATCAATATAACCGCGAACGCCGTTATTGATTTACTCAAAACTGGTCAGAAAGAAATAACTAAAAATTGTAGTTATTTCCATCGTAAATAAATCAATAATTATAGATGTTTAATACGAAACAATCTCATGTTTGTACGCATTTTGAACAATTTTTCTTTAATATTGGTCCTGACACGATTTATCTCAGTCGTTTGAAAGGTTATTGAGACATAGTCAATATTTTCTGAAAACTGGTGTTTCACGTTTTCCATATATAATCTGCTCAGTTTATTCATATTTAATCTAATTTTTGTTATACCCGTCGGTTCTCCTCGCACAATTTTCTTTTATTTTGGCCTTTTGAGTTATTGATTAGTGCGTTGTGTTTGCTGTTCTTGCCATTTACGCTGCTTGAACCGCTTTGATAACTACACAATATTGATTTATTTCTAGACTTTGTATAATTTATTTGAATATATGCTACCAACTAAAAAAAATATTATATAAAGTTCATATAATAAAGTATTGGAATAATGGTTCACCAAGTGATACCTGGTGCTATAAATAGAGATGAATATGCTCATGATATTGGATCAGTTGAAGGATTTGTTTTTCTTGTAAAATAAATATTGTTTGACATTATATAATTATATTATATTCATAGGCATGTGCTGTAGGTTGCGATATAGTCATATTGGATGCGGAACTATCTCGAATTCAGGTTGGCTAAACTTATATTGAAGCAGTTTCATGTTATCATATTATAGTTATTACAATCAATACCAAATGAACAGAATATGTCTCCTAAGATAAGCTGCTGCTATGATTCAGGAAAAGTAATATTCAAACATCAACAAACATGCTGCAAGTATCATTAATTCAGATAGCTATAGCGTATGGTGCTTCAATCAAAATATTTGAACCAACCACTGATACTCCTAGTGATGGGTCTCATGAACATGTAAGTCTGTGAATGTATCTCTCTCACACAAGTTTTTCATTTATTCAGAACTTTCCTTACAAATGGGCTAAAGTAGAAGAAATACCTACTCCTCAAATAATAGATGCTATATTATGGAGTTTAGAAGGTAAACTGCTGATACAGACTTTATTAATATATGTTATGAAGGTCTTCGACTTCTGGTTGTTCAACAGAAATCGCTATCCCTCTATCAGCATGGAAGTGTTCACATTAATACTAAAGAGCAGGATGTCAAAAAAGTTTGGTCATATTATTAATACAACTAATGAACGTTATTAAGTGTGACTGGTCCATAGTTTGGCAAAACACCTTGGCTCAGCCTATAAAGCATGTTCGATATAGTCCAGATGGAGTTTTCTTGGCAGTTGCAAGCGAAAACGATTTTGCTGTTCGTTTGTTCTATCAAGAATTTGCTGAGCACAAGTCACTTGTATTCAACTATATCTTACTTCACCATCCTGCACCTGTTACTGGGTTCCAATGGCGTAAAACAGGCCGATTCATTCCAAGGTGCTTAGAGAGCATGCATGTAAAAGTCGAAATAATAGTTTTAGAAAATCAATAACATCTGCTTTAATAACATGGTGCAAGGACAACACATCTCGCATATGGAGAGAAACTCATACTACAGAGCTTGCAGCCATTGAAGTTTCAGGTGACGGAGGTGAATTTGTAGCTAGAGAATGTATTGAAAAATTACCTCTTTAAGGTGAACCTTTTTGGGAGCACTCAAGATCACGAAAATTTCTTGGTAGAGAAGTACATTTGAAAAAGACTACTAGCAGAATTGTGAGCAAATTCAAGAAAATAATGTAAGTTTGAAAATGAAAATGGAACAAATGAATCAATGCTGCCCCAGGACAGAGAAAAAGCGAAAGCATAAAGATCGTGTTGGGGACATCAACACAATCCGTCCTTCCCTCTCTCTTATGGCCGTCTATCCAATTACGCACCATTCACAAGGAACAGTTCAATTTCATCTGGCAGCCACTATTAACGCTGACATTAGTATGGAAGAGCAGCTTTGAAGAAAAATTTGACAAAATGATAATTTTTAGATATCCCTATGAGTTCATCATGCAGAACAAATGAAAATGCCACTATTGGGCCTCTGCACGTTCATTGGCTTAATAACAAAGAGTTATCATTCAATTTGGAGTCAGAAAGACTGCTGATAGATGCTTTAATGAAAGACATGAATCACGCTAAAAATGTATCGACAGGTTCTAATTTAATGGGATGAATGAAGAGAATAAGAGAGAGATTTAAGATTCAAATCACAGTGATAACTCTGATAGAGAAGACCATGGTTCTTGTTATAAGTTGGAAACAGAGTCGAAAGGAAAAGAGCGTAATGGAAATGTGGTATGAGAATGAGTGAATGAAAAATCATGATGAGAAACTTTTAGGATATGACAGCTCAAAATATTCTTGATACGAATATTGAAATGCTTTTATCACAATGGGAGAAAACGTCTGATGTTCTCTATGCTATATCACCGCAAGATGGAAGTTTAATACTATGGTTTGTTCAACATAACAATGTAAAATATGAGAACATACAATGTTACTAGGACGATTGATTGGTTGGACAACTGCAATCGCCAGCCTAACGCTGCCTTCTGCTCTCAGATTCCAGGTTATTAGGCTTATTTCATATGGGTATTCATAAATAATTGAGCTACTTATAGCGTTGTTCACTATGATGGATTCTAAAACGTTGAGACCCACATTGAGTACATTCTGCGCTTATGAGCCATTATATCAATGCTTGTTAAGACATGACTCAGATTTGAAAGAGACAAGTATGGAAATCAAATTAATATTGTAGTTGAATCGGTTGATGTTTAAGATATGGAACAGTTTGTCGAATATCAGAACAGACATCACAGCTTATACTTATTGAGTAGTCATGACAATGGATCACTAAACTTGTGGGACCTGAAATTAGATCAGGATAGCAATTTCAGTGGAGTATTGAATGTGAGCCACTTAGCTCGCATGTGTGGACATAAGAATGATATCAGAAAAGTTTTAAAGTCCTGAAGCACGAAATAATCAGTAATTCTCAGATTCTTCCGCATCCTATACTTCCTCTCGTGATTACTTCTTCACATAATGAAGTACCTTTAGAAGATCACGAAGCTGATAAGGTGCAGAATTCCAAATTATGTTTTGAGTAGTATGAGTTTAGATGAGCAAAAACTCTGAGGCTGTTATTTGGAAATCACAACCTGTTGGACCTTTACAAAAAAAGGGTGGAATCGATGAAGTTGCTCGGATTCAGATGGATACTTCGAGAGCTCTGAATCATTTTTGCTGGTTAAAGCCTGATGCATTTCTAAGGTTTTCTAGTTATATACCAATACCGAGTTGGAAGCTTTTGCTTTTGTAGTACTGAAGTGCATACAGATGAATGCGGTGAACCATGGCCTTGTTTCTTAACAAATGTAGAACAAGATCTTGTCTTCTATCAAGTTAGCACTAAAGAACATTTTATAACAAACCTTGTGTTTTGAGGTGAAGATATCGAACAAGGAAAAGGAAATTTCAGTCAGTGATGACAGAAATATCAAAGAAGTTGGCCGAATCCACAATGCTCTTAAGGTACGCATACTCAAAATTAAGATTTTAAAAGTCAAAGCAGGAAGAATCACAAGTGAAATTTCTTCACATATACAATGCTGCTCACATCATGCATGTGATTGATGAGGAAGATCTCATGAGCACAGCAAGAAAATACTACCTTTGCATAATTGATGAAATAAAAGGCCGTAACAGGTAGAAAAGCTTCATGTTGTCTCAACTGAATGCTTGTTCAGAGTTGTCTTCCATGGATTAAATTTCTCACACGTCAACAAGCAACTTGTAGTTAACTGTGAACATATTTCCACGCAACTGCTCGAGCTTCCCAGCAATGTCAAAGTAATTATTCTTTTATTGACTTTGCTAAACATTTCTCCAGATTTGCCAAACTGTAACATCGTTAGGGATGTCGTCAATGGAATGCGTTCTACCCGTTTGTTCCGTTCCCTACCACTTCATTACAAGTGTTTCAAGTAAGCGAATTCAGAAAGGGTAGCAATGGAATATTATTATTCAGACACACAATTGCTGTTTTGGAAAATTGAAGAGAATTCAGACAAAAAAGTTAGTGTTAAGGAATGGAAAACATTGACCAACAAGAAAAGCAGTTCTTTGCAATCTCCAGGTTTTTAAACTCGCAAGGAATTTCTCAATTTATATTCTTTCTAGGACGAATAATTGGTTTATGTGCTGCACATCATTCTCTGATTGCGTTGGCTTACGTTAATTCAAACGATGAAGTGATTAGAATTAGTTATTATAAAGAGTTTCAAGTTCCAGATTGTGTGCGAGGTATATGAATGTGAGTCTTCTGGAGGAATCGCTTGGGTTAAAGAGGATACGTTTATTCCCGATCCTGATGAAACTGGTGATAACAATTTAGTGAAGAAGTTCAAATGTTTTTGTCCAGATCATAGAGTTTCTTTGTCATGGATTTCTTCGGAAGAAGGTCGTTTCATGCTCATGATAACAACCCAGGATAATATACACGTATACACGAAAGTTTCACCAGATGCTGTTCAGAAAAATGTTTCTTTAATGAAAGAAAAAGATTTTTCGTTGAGACGTCTCTCGGTGCGTAGTGAAACATCTAGCAATGAACGAAACAATCAGGTATAGTAAGCTATATGATATATATATTTTGTCTTCATTTAACAGAATAAATGGTACTGCATTCGAATGTTGAAACTTAGCAATGAGAAAGGAGTTTCTCTACCAAATGTTGCTAGTTATACTAAAGATGGTCTGTTATTGGTTGGTAGAAATCGCGAGTTGAATGTTTTCAACCAATGGGAACTTGAAAGATACAGCACAATGTTTGCGGTTACAATTTCAGAAACTTAACTTGAAAGTATATTTCAGAGATTTGAAACTGGAAGCGGAATCTTCGTCGCACAAATCTCAGAACTTACCTCGGTCAACTTCACAAAACATGTGAGTTTGTTCTCTACATCCTACAGTATCATGTTCACACAGGTTTACAAACTGGCTTCTCACTAAGAATTCGTTCGACAGTAACGTTGTTGATGGACTGTATGATGCTTCATACTTGTCTTCTCCTTGTTTACCGCAATATCATCCTAAGCAGTTAACTGCACTGCTCAATGCAGGCAAAACTAAAAGAGTTAAAGCTATACTTTTGAATGTATTGAAATCACTTAAGGTAGTTTTCTACATTCCAGTGCATTTTATAATCGATAACATCTTCAGTTGCACGAATCTTCTCATACCACTGGACGTAAACCCTCTATGAAGCGAAGAATGAGCATTGACCCCGAAAATGTTGCTGATGAAGTTTACCTATAGTTTATCCGTCATGATCATTTGTTTATTTATAGTTCTTACAAGAAAACACAGCGGAGTCAGCGGAGTACTATGAATTCAAAAACTTCAGCCCTGTTCCAATTTATGCTTTAATGAATGTGGATCAACTATCAACCAAACCAGCAGGAAAAGAGAAGAACAAGGCTTCAAAGGTAAAAGGCGTAACCAAAAGATAATCATGTTAGAATGTTAAGGATGATTTTGGATTTGATGATGATATTTCTGATTTGTCTAGTTTGAGTGATTTCGATTACAAAGATGAAGATGAGAACAAATTCGAAATGCCTCCTCACAATCTTTTCCATGACCCTGACGATGAAGAGGAGTATTCTGTAGGTTTCACAACAGAGCACAATAGGTAGACAGACAAAATATGATTTTAACTCACAAAGCAAATTATCAGACGTCTAACTGAACTTCTCACTCATATTCATTTGCCTGGGTTATCTTCAGTTGATCAAATGCACATGCTGGCTATAGCAGATACTCTGAGTCATTTTTCGGGAGATGTTATGGATAAGCTTAATTCCGGTACAGGCAAGTAGTAGTACACTTGTGAATTCGAGAAAAATTTTTCTCTAGTTGCTAACGTGGTTGGAACGATGGGTGGAACCGTACTAGCTCAATCAGACTATACAACAACAGCGAACGGAATCGAAACCGTCGATGAATGCGGATTGAGATACATGATGGCTATTAAACAGTATGAATACTTAGTTATCTGTTTACCACCAAAGCAGAAACTTGATTTGATAGTTTGGGTCTTTCAATGTTTCATAATTGATATTTGAACAATTTAGAAGCAAGGCTTATCACCCTCTCATGTTATATGGGCTCTACATTCTGAGACTGAGTTAGAAATCCTACAAGCTACACCAGCATGGACGAAAGCAAATTCTACATGGGAAGATATGAGATCCATGGGCATCGCTTGGTGGCTGAAAAGTCCAGCCACTCTGAAAACATGTTTCGAGAAGGTTTAACAGTAGATACACTATAACTACAGTATGAGTTATTACAGTTGGCTAAAGCTGCATTCCAACAAAACCAAGATCCCATGGATGCGTCATTGTTCTATTTGGCTCTCAGAAAGAAAAACATACTAACACATCTCTTTAAAGTGAAATAATCAGTTTCTTTTGCAAGTTTTAATCAATATGTTCAGACGTCACGTAATACTACTATGCAGCAATTCTTCAACAATGACTTTGATAATGAGCATTGGCAGAAGGTCGCTAACAAGAATGCTTTCGTTCTCATGAGTAAACAACGTTTCCGTCATGCCGCAGCATTTTTCTTGTTGAGTGGTAGCTTAAAGGATGCTGTTCAGGTCTGATTAGCTTTAATGGAAGAGTAAAAGTTTTCCACATCTAGATTCTATTGAGCAAATGCAATGATATTCAACTTGCGATGGTTGTCGTTCGAGTATATGAGACTGACTTAGAGAAGCAAGCTAGTTTATTGAAAGAGATGCTATGCAGGTTGTCAAGTCAAATCTAACTCTTTAGCTGATTTTTTATACAGAGAAGTGTTGAATATAACAGTCGAAGACTTCAATGCGGCTAGGTTGGATCCTGAAACTTCAGAAGAAGTTACTCATACTTCGTAAGCAGTTTGAAGCTGTCAAAGAAACATTGTATTCTGTTAAGCGATCCATTTGAGAGATCTATGGCGTATTGGATACTGAAAGATTATTCGCGCGCAGCAAGTACACTGTTAGATGTAACGAACAACTGCACAGACCATCGATACATATCTGATATCTTCAATTTCTATTCATATTTGAGGAAACACCCTATGGTTGTTAGACAACGTCTAACAGATAATGGAGCACAAATTGGATCTATCGAAAAGTTCATTGCAGTCGGTAGAAACTTAGAAAGCGTCGTTTTACCCCAAGAACGACGATTGTTCTTCCAAACTGCTGCTAAACATCTTGCTTGTGGTTGTCCGATGCTGGCTTTAGAAGTTCTAAGTAGACTTCCACCTTACTTAACTGTGATTGAAGCAGCTGCAGGCCGACGTTCTTTCTGTATCTCTTTAGACGAAGAGGTAAAACTAAATCTTTTTTTTTAAATTTCAATTATTTTTTATGTTTTTTTAGACCAATCTATTAGACCATGAAATAAAGAAGAATGATCAAGTTAGCAACTTCAATTATCTCTTGTTAAAATCTATATTTAGGAGAGAGGGCCATTTGATTCTAGTGCACAGTACCTCAAGATGGTCTCTTGCTTGCGGATATTGTTTGAGGAGTTCTCATCAGTCATGAACAAGTTTAGTATCGAAGAGAGCAGTATGAGCAAGGAGGTAATGAGTAGAACCAGTTATCGTTAATCGTCAAAAACTTCCAGTTTGGTGAGTGGTTTGAGAAGGAAGTAAATGTCTTGAAAGAAATATGCACTACAAAAGAATCGTACCACTTCGATATTCGTAGTATTCTGTTAAGGTAGCAAGATTCTTAATATTGGGTTTAACTGATACTTTGAAGATGCTTCTATTTATTCTCTAGCCTTCACTCAACTGATGATTTAGCTTTGAGCTCCGCATTGACTGAGCTTTCAATCTTACTAAAAAGATATGAGACTGATGAACCTTCATTAGGTATCTACTGTGCCATAACATTTGAGAAAGAGTCATTTCAGTGAACATGTCTGTGATTTCTAGCCTTTGTGTACCTTCTCCAGCTGAGATGATTCAAAAGCGGTCAACTGAGTTATTGATGGCCTTATCTGAAATCAAGCTTGTTCCTACCGATTCCAAAGATCTATCAAAAGTTTGTGACGTTCTTGTTCTGCAAGTAATTCTGTTCTTATAGTGTTATGCTATGTTCAAGCAAGGCCAAGCACTGTCTTCTTGCATTTATCAAACTTTAGGAAGCATAACCGAAGATTCCATCGAATCAGTGTTTAATATTGTTTATGAAACGTCAGAACAGATATGAGATCCTGAGCAAATAACATTTTTTCAGCGATTGTAACACAGGAAATGATACCATCACTCAACTGAAAAATTACAAACCGAATGAAATGCTAATTGAAAGCTTCATGGCCGTCAGCATGTGAGTTTATAATTCTTAATAAAATTGTATTCGGATGCAGGTCTTTGTTTGCTTTCTCGTTAGCGACTCATAATACCCGTTGGCTATATCGTCTTGCAACACAAACAATATCTCGTCCAATATTCATAGCATTGTTTGGAGATGTTCTATCTGGGATGTGGATGCCACCCACTCAATCGATTCTTCAGTTCTTCGCGGAGAAGGTTTAAAAAAAAATCAAAACTTTCAAATTATCTCATTATAAAGGGGGCTCCGGATGGTGTTGACACAAATACTATTGACTATGACTCAGAAGCTGAAGAGGATGACTTGGATGAAACGGAGAGAGAACTCAACAAGTACATAAAGGAAAAAAACACGACAAAAATGTTTTTTCAGAATTACAAGTCCAGCAAAGCCATCCTATGCTTGGCATCTCATGAGGCTCGGGCTTTTCGAACAACAGAAATACATTTTGAAACAACTTGGTCCATTACTAAACTATGGTTTATTTGGTTCCAGTTTAATTTGATCGTTATTATTCTTAAGAAATCAAATCACTTTCTGGCCCAATCAGTTCTGTTTTCCAGCTTTTAGATTCATGGTCTTTACAGGTATTTAGAAAGATTAAGTTTAAAATTAAGTGGATATTGCTTCGACAGACAAGACAAAACTTAATATCCAATCAAGAATCACCTGAGGATATTATGAAAGACGTCGTTTCTAGCTTAATGAAGACAGATTTCGCCAAAAAGTTAGTTTGGCTAAGCCTTTATAACTTAAATATTATTCAGGTATGCTTTCATTGTGCAAAGCATGTCGAACGACATATATGATGTGGATTTATGGCCTATTGCTTCGGATAAGAGAATGTGGCAGTTCCTAATTCGTTTACCCCATTTGCAATCTCTTCTTTTCCCTCACATTTTCACTTCTCAATCTTTGAAGGTCTCTGAGAATTTAATAGCTTATTACGTAAAGTTTTGTTCAAGGATGAACCAGATGATTCCTCGGACAACATTGGATCTACTTGTGGATATGGGCACTCAAATGAAGTGACAACTCCTTTTAAAATAGTTCACAGAGACAATGATTCCATTGTTTCATTTGCTTCAAGCCATGTATGATGATCGGTGATGGAGCAAAGGAAAATGATTGTGTTACAGATTAAGTCTGGGCTATTAGTTCTGTCGAACGGTAAAGAGCTGCAGGAAATGGATGTCAGCAGAGCTCTACACTTCTATGCAGGACCAACAATTAATAATAATAACAAAGTCAGTTAAATGAACTACGGGCAGAATCAAAGCTTAATACTAAGATCAGCTAACCTAACACTTATCTAACAATCGATTATTTTGCTAATAATATTTTTCAGTTGCATGTCTACGATATTGAACATGCTGAAGCTGTTACTGAATTTTTAACCGACGATTATCATCTTGAGTTTGAGAACACAAAGATTAATTTAGAGCATTCTGTTAGCATGGTAAGCCGTATGAGATTTTATTTATATTTTTTTTGACAACGACGCGCTTTCTTTTTATAAAAATTGTTTTTCCTACAGCAAAAAGTTAAATGGAGCCCTTCGCATACTCAATGCAAGGTATTTAAGATGTTGTGTTTGATTCAGTTGTGATTGTGCTATCGCTAAATTACTTTTGCGAAAAACTAAAACAGCAACTAACAAATAAACCTCATGTTTCAGCTGCCTAGAAAACCTTCTAATGGTGTTCGACGTTTGGATTCTCATCCGTCAGAGTCGATTTGTAATAAAGATATGCAGTTTGTTCAAATTTTCAATTTCTTTCATAGATGCTAGTGGTGCTAACGATGGATCTATTCGCGTTTGGGAATGGGGTGTTAAACAGCCAGTTGTTACAGCACGTGTAGCTGGGCAATATGCGAGAGTAAGAAAAAAGTGAATAAAAAGTATTCATGATTACTTGAAAGGTTGCTAAAGTGTCGTTCTCTCAAAATGGAAACAAATTAGCTGCTGTAGACGGTGACGGACTGCTTTGTTTATGGCAAATAACACAATCGGATAGTACCCGTAAACCATTCTTCGTGAGTTCATAGTATTTTTTAAATATTTTTTTATATCTTTCTAGAGTCAACGATGTAATAACAAGTATGCAACAGATGTCCGCTTTCTTGGTCCAAGTTCATCTGTTCTTTTGACTGCTGGAAACTCTACTGGAGATTACAACATTGGTTTACAAGCAACATAATCAATATAGTTGAATGAGATAATTGTAGCCATATGGGATACTTTGTTGCCGCAGAACAGAGCGCTGGTTTCTTCTTGGGCTGCTCATCCAGATGGTGCAACCTGTGCATCTTTCTTAACCACCCAACAAGTTTGACTCTTGTAAGGATGGCAGTCATTTTTTTTAACTCAGACAATCATATCTGGTGGTAAGCATGGTGAAGTGTGCTTTTGGGATGTTCGTCAAAGATCATTGAGAACATCAATGAGAACGTTCGATGTTAACACAACAATAACTTCTTTGGTTGTTGATAATGACGAGGAGTTTGTGGTTGCTGGCTCAAGTGATGGCGACATCAAAGTAAGACTCATGTATAGAAAGCAACACATTCATTGTTTTCAGATTTGGTCACTAGATTCAACCCCTCAACTTCTGTTTGAAATTCCAGCTGAAAGTGCAAACAAGCAAGTTTTCTCTTTCCGGACAGGTGATAGAGCACTTTCTAAAACGTCTCTGAAAAATCTGTTTGTTCAGGCGGTCAGTCTTCCGGCCAAGGAATCGTGCAGCTTTACTTAGAAAGCAAAGTACGCTTGTTCGCTTGTGGTAGCGATGGTGTACTACGAATTCATTCCCTTCCTGTTGTGAGCACTCCATGATACTTTCACTTATAAATATATATATAAATACGTATATACATAAACTATAACTAATCAATCATTCCACATAATTATTTATAATTCGTAGTTGTATAATAGTTCTATTGTAATATTAAGTCAGCCATAGATATGTTAAATCGAGATCCTTCTGGATTGCTATGTATTTTAATTTTTAGAAGTCATAAATATTTAATGATAGTTTCAGATCTTGCTTATGAGTACGTGATGTTCTCGAGAACTTTCCTGTGTGATTGTGAAAATAACTTATTCGTTTTATAGGGTAGACACTTCTCTTCATTTTGTTTCGTGGATCAACGGATACTGGAAAAGAGTGTTCACGTCGAGAGGTATGGGAAGATTCTATCAGCTGAAGATGTTGTGAATAATATGATAAAATTCTTCAAGAGTTGAGGTAGTGGAAGTAGTGATATCTTGAAAAAGACAGATAGAAAGCATAAAAATTTATTGAATTTGTAATATTCTACTCGAACAGTTTAAACAATAATTGTTGATGTTTTGAGAGGGGCATTTGTTATTTAAATGATTTTAACATAATTTATGTATATAAGCATAAATTATCTGAGCAATCCTCTCAAATATGTATGAATGATTGCTTTTCAGATTTAAGCTTCGCTGCCATCATCAGCACCATCATCCAATGGTCCTATAATATGATTCATATATCATAAAAAGTTTGCAAATTTATACCTTCGATGTTAAGGGTAAGTTCAACGTTAGCTTCTCCAGCATCATTCTTGATATTGCAGGTGTAAGTTCCACTGTCCTTGGCCTTATAGTTCTGAAGAAGAGCTTTAGCTATGCTTTGTAATGTAATCGTACCTTAAGTTCAAGGAGAGCAGTGAATGTGTTCTGACCACCATCGGGAGAAGTTGTGAACTTGATACGGGAAGATTCCTTCATCTTCTTTCCCTTGGGGTTGATCCACATAACCTATGATTGAGGATGAGATTGCAAACTTCATTTTATTTACTCACTTCAGGGTTGCGATCGGCTTGGAATCCAATATCGAAGACAATAGCTGGATCACCGGAGTCGGAAGTTTTTTGAAGGATTTGGGGTTTTCTTGTGAAGGTTGGAGCTCCTTGTGGTACTAAACACTCATTATTGTTAGTATTCCCTTCGTTTGTTTATACCTTCGAATTTAACGGTGAAGGTGGCGGTGAGTTTTCCAGAATCGTTCTTTGCAGTGCAGACGAATTGACCGGCATCTTTTTCCTTGGTGGGGTCCTATGTCAACATTAGATAATTGTTTTTTTGCTTAAACTTACTCTAATTTCTAAGGCGGAATAGTAGACTTGGTTGGGTTCTTCACGAAGAACAATCTTCACTCTATCTGATTGTGGAACAATTTCATCTCCCTGGAATGTCTCACTTCCATTATCCAGTTGAGTGTAACTTTACAATACCTTTTGCCAGACGAAAGTTGGCTTCAAGATAGACTTTGCTCTGAATTCCATGACCATAACTTGACCTTCATCGCGAGAAGAGATTTGTGGTTTTTCGATGAAAGTTGGAGAAGAGAATCCTTTAATTTGGAAAATAGTGAAAATAATCCCAAGTTTTCTCACCTGTCAACTTAAGATTGAAGTTGGCGTTACCCTTTCCGTGTGGATTGACAATGGCGCATTTATAAGCTCCGGCGTCAGAATCAGCCAAATCCTGAACAAACGGCTTTTCATTTGAACATTTTAAAGTAACAGAAACTTTTATAATGGTTCTTCATCACCCGCTACACTTTAAAGCATCAACTACTTTATCCAACGGCACTCATCTCATATTAAAACATTCTACCTTACACAATGTCTCTGCTTATCTTATGTTCGCAGTGTCATTTTCATCTATCTCTCATATTGCCAGCGATTGCATATCCCTTATCCCTCAATTTCAAATTGTATCTCGCCTACTCTCTTTTTATGATTTTTCTTTACATCTCTTCGCTCTGCTCACTTTCTCTCACTCACTCAACAGAGAGCACTCCCCCGCGCACCAGTTGTCGCAGAAGGCAAAGAAAACGCTTCTAATCTTTTTTATATTTTGAGTTCGCCGAAAAATAGCTCTCTTATCTCATAAAACAACCAATATTTCTCGCGATCGTTTCAGTTCATCACACACAGAGCCAAGATCAACAAATAATGAACTTTTTTCAAACTTCAAACATTCATGTGAACAGTTGCAAATGTATTTTCTTTCGTGGCATCCGATAATAAAATATACAAGAAAAGAATGTTCAAACAGATGTTTGTTCTGCCTCACGTTTTTTTTCACCAATTTTCAGCTCAAATTTTTACCTTAATCTGTAAAATAGCGCTGTAAGAGTCTCCTCCCTTGTTATCCATTCTGAAGTTGAAACGACCATCAGGCTTAATTTCTTTCTGAAAAGAGGATTTCTTAGAAATGACAACATTATGCATTTGAATCTAGTTATAGGATGTATCAACTTACGTTGTCATAAAACCATTTGATGTCTGGCTTTGGTCTGGCATCCAAGTAACATTCGAGCTCAAGACTTCCGTCTTCGTTTTGACGAGCAACTGGTTGCTGTGGGAAGTGAGGGGCCTTTCCGTCAGACATTCTAAATTTAAACTACTATAACATTGGACTTATTCATACATATATGTATATAAATATGAAGAATGTGCGTATTTGTTGATCTAGCTCAGTTAATCAATAGCGTATCAAACATTCTGGAGAGAAAAGACGATTTTCATTTATTTGCTCTCAAATTCTTAGAAAGAAATGCCGTTCATCATGAGATATTGTAATCATGATTCATGAAACTGGACGGATGGTTGAGCATGGAGTTGAAATGAGAATGACGCTCTCGGATAAAAATTTTTTCGAGAAAGTTGCTTTGTTGACAGTACGAAAAAATCATAAAACATTTTCTATTGTTTTATTTCAGTTTGGAGAGAATAGTATAAAGCTGGCAAGAAAGTTGGAAGGCTGTAGATAAAAATGAGAAGTCATGCTGCCGCAGGTGAAGAAAGACGGCTATACTGCTGAGAAGATGATCGGAAGACCAGAGGAGATGAGGGCGGGTCTTTAAACGAACTTAAGAACAAAACGACAGGAGGTGGGGAAAGTTTAGCAGATAGAAGCTTGGCAGAAAAGAAGAAATGAGAGATAAATGTTATTATACAGAAAGATAAGGAGGGATAAGATTTTTGAGAGAAAGAATTTGCCCGGCTGTTAGCTTGTGTAATGATCAATGTTTATCAAAGTATGATACACTGAACAAATCAGGCTTAATAAGTTTCAGAACATTGTAAAACGGAGTAAAAAAGACGAATGCCATAATATCGGTATCATTGTAGAGCTCAACGAAAAAACTGGCAAAATGGAGTGAGAGAGCGTTTACGTTGTTAAATGAATTATGTAAGAGCTGCATTAATTCTAACAAGTTCTTATGAAACGATATTTGACAGAACAAAAGTATTTGTGAGCTGTTCAATAAGAATTGTGATCCAACTGACTGTTGGCAAATCGTCTGTCTGTAAGAGAGAAAGAGCTGCCTTTTTACAACTTATTCTGTGATCCGGCCTGAATGAACTCCTACGCTAGAGCAGCTGTCATTGTTACACTCATATCTACTGAACGAGGGTGGCCGTTTATGTTAAAAATGTCTAGCAGTAGAACGAAATATATATTGCGTAGGCAAAACAGAAAAAAAACAAAAATTGCTTCACTCCGTAGGCGACTGTTCATTGCTGGGTTACTAGTGATCAAAAGAGACTTCGCAGGTGGAAAAAGAAGTATAAAGTGAAATATGTTTGAGATAGCAGGTGAACTTTGAGCAGCTCGCTGAATTCTGTGATTTGCTTCATCTTTTTCTCCTTCTGAACAATTATATAAACATTCAAATCAATAAGTTTCATGTTTTGGAT